GAGTAGCTGGGACTACAGGTGCCCGCCACAATGCCCGGCTATTTTTTGGTTGCAGCTGTCATTGTTGTTTGGCAGGCCCAGGCTGGATTCGAACCTGCCAGCTCAGGTGTATGTGGCTGGCGCCTGAGCTGCTGTGTCTGTTTTGAAAGCACCAAGCAGAGGAGCAGAATGGGCTGGAAGGGCTAGTGCAGCAAGGGTGTCAGGACCACAGGCCTCCTTCTCAGGGTGGGGCCAGCAGGGGTGTGCAGGGCCAATCAAGGAAGGAAGGAGTCTGGAGTGCAGAGGGCAAAACGCTGGGCTTGTGTTTATCTTTGTCCTAAGATTTTGAGACACATAAACAGAGATGAGTTAACTGAAGTTAATGAAGCTTAAGTGTGAAGCCTGCCCCAACCCCACCCCCGCCTACAAGTGGCCCTAGCAAAGTGTTCAAAAAGCCATACTAAAAACTTTAAAATGTGCAGAAGTCAGCTATTCTGACTGTAGATCCAACCTTGTCTTTCCCACTAGGCCTATCTCTCCATCGGATGTAGAGTCAAGAGAGACTGGAGTGGAAGCTTAGTTTGGCTAAAAGGGAACTGAGCAGAGATGCACATTCCTTGCTTAGCCACTAGCTGGGGTAAAATACTAGATGTATAAAGGGGTCTGATGGGAGGCATCTGCCAAGTGACCTGGCATGGGGACACGGACATGCAGGACTAGAGGAGTGAGCAAGGAGCTGCTCTTGAGTCACAGGAAGAAACAAGGTCTCATTCCAACAGAGCCAGAAGCAAGTCCATGGGGGCCGGGGGCCATGGCTCACACCTGTGATCATAGCACTCTGGGAGGCCAAGGTGGCTGGGGTCTGAGCAAGACCCCATCTCTAAAACAAAAAACAAACAAGCAAAAGAACAGCCAGGTGTTGTGGCAGGCACCTGTAGTCCCAGCTACTTGGGAGGCTGAGGCAGGAGGATCTTGAGCCCAAGAGTTTGAGGTTGCTATGAGCTATGACACCACGGCACTCTACCGAGGGCGACAAAGTGACACTCTGTCTCAAAAGGAAAAGAAAATAAAAGAAGCAAGTTCATGGAAACATCCTGCATCTTACAACTAATTCATAAAAGAACACTGATAGAAAGCTCTCAGTCTCACCACAGTCCTAAAAACTTATATGGCCAATCGCTACCAGTAACAAATTTGAAGCCTAAGTAAACTTTTCTAAATTATCAGTAATAAATTTCAACTAGCCATGTTGCAGGAAAGGCTGAATTTGTCTATTTTATTTACAAAATCATTGTCCTTCAAAGACAGAGAGTATGAAGCCAAAAAAAAAAAAAAGAGTGAAGAATGTATTACAAAAGAGTGAGAAGCAGTAAAAGAATTGGGATTTTTTTTTATATTTTGTGATATTGGCAGTATTTCCTAGAATCTTAAACTTTATTACAGTTGTGATTATTCTTATTTTTTATTTTATTATTTTTTTTTTGAGACAGAGCCTCCAGCTATAGTTCTGGGTAGAGTACCATGGAGTCATAGTTCACAGCAAGCTCAAACTTCTGGGCTTAAGCGATTCTCTTGCCTCAGCCTCCTAGTAGCTAGGACTACAGGTGTCCGCCACAATACACGGCTATTTTTTGGTTGCAGTTGTCATTGTTTGGCAGGCCAGGGCTGGATTCGAACCTGCCAGCTCTGGTGTAATTTGGCTGGCGCCTTAGCCGCTTGAGTTATAGGTGCCACCCAGTTGTTTTCATTTTAAATAACTTTTATATCTAAATTTGAATTTGTAATTATGTGTTTTCTTAAAGAAGACCCCTAAATTGTCTAAGCTTCAGGCCCAACAAAGCTGTTTCCTCCTTTGCAGGGGGATTAAAAAAGAACATTGTCTAAGGTGCCCTGTTCACACATGCTGAGTCTGTAGCCAATAGAGATCATTATTTGCGGTGGAGGGTGGCTGAGACCACCCATCCCCAAAGCCTAGAACCCAGCGGCAGGGGGACTCCAGGAGGCACTGAAGGAACACTGCCCAACAGAGGCAGAGCAGAGGTGGTGGCAGACTGTCCAGGGTGGCCCTGATTAGAGTCAGCTTCAGAAATGAGGGGCAGTGGGCATTTGCCTCTTGGCAAGTCCCTCATCAGCTACCCCAACCTCTCCACATCCAGAACCCAGGCTCAGCCTCAGGAGTAGCTGCAAGGAGTAAGCAATAAGAGAGTAAGACACTGGGCACTGGGGAGACTGGAGGCACTGGGGAGACTGGAGGCACTGGTGACAGTGGGCATCTGGGGCACGACCTGCCAGATATGCCCTCCACCAAGGAGGACCCCACAAAGGGTCACCACATACCACTGGTCAGCCTTACTGGGCTGTTTTTCCCAGTCAGCACCAGACTGCTGTAAGGACATCATGAAGACAGCCTGTCCCTCTGTACACAGGTTCCGATGACCTGATGTGGCTTCTGTTTGTGCTCGCCACAGACCATTCTGCCTGTTCCTTCACCCAGTGCCCAGCAGGCAGGAAGCATCAGCATAATTCCCAAAAAGGAGCCCCAGACAAGGGAGTCCTGACCAGACTCCTAATGGCAGACTCTTTATTTCAACCCTCCCCCTCTTCTTAAAAAAGCCTTTTTTGTTGTTGGCAAGTTGCAAAAAAACAAAAAACAAAAAAACCTTATCTCTTAAATAAGTTAAAGATTATAGGGCCTTCAGAACTGTGTCTGCTACATCATAACCTCCATTTGAGCATTTGTTAAATAATTATTTTTTTCTTTTTGAGACAAAGTCTCACTCTGTTGCCATCAGTAGAGTGCTATGGCATCACAGCTCACAGCAACCTCAAATGCTTGGGCTTAAGCAATTCTCTTGCCTCAGCCTCCCCAGTAGCTGGGACTACAGGAGTCCACCATGCCTGGCTATTTTTTGGTTGCAGTTGTCATTGTTATCTAGCTGGCCTGGGCTGGGTTCAAACCCGCCAGCCTCAGCGTATGTGTCTAGGGCCCTAACCATGGAGCTACTGGCGCCAAGCCTTGTTAAATAATTTTTTTAAATTGTCTCAAAACCTTCTGTTTCTTCAAGGATCTACATTTGAAAGCCACAGTAACCCATAACTTAAGTGTCCAGAATTACACAGTAGTGTCTGAATCCTACACTGGCTTCTCAACGTCTAAAAGAAGAGTTTGGTGGTGGAGCCTAACAGTTCTGACAAGCCAGAATACGCACACTTTGCAAGGAGGGCCGGGAGGGAGAGTGGAGCACACGGGGCTGCCCTCCAGAAAGAAAGTGTGCCCTGAAGGGAGTTTTGGGGTCCTCTTTTTCCTAAAGAAGGGAATGGTGATGGAGGTCCAAGGGTAAAATTCACAACACTCTTTTTAATCCATTCATTCCTTATAGCCTGTGTCTTTGGTCCTTAAAGCAACAGAGAAGGAAGGCCCTTCCACACAAAAGGTGTCCAAGTAGTGTTACTTTGGACTGAACAGCTCACTTCAAATTTAGGATTGGTAACAGTAGGATTTCAACACCTAAGGAAAATTGGTAGAGCTTTCCCCAACTGTTGGGGTGGGGGCGGAAATGCTGTTTGGATATAAAAGGCCAATCTGTCCACACCGCTTCTGCCCCTGCAAAACTATGCCACCTTCCTACACAATCGAGCCCAGTCGTGGGAGAACCAGTGTTCATTCATCCACCAACGCTGACCACGCGCAGTTGCCGCGTCCGGGGCTGCTGAAGTACTAAGGAAGAGCAGGGACCCGCGCGCGGAAGGGACACAGGGCGGAGCTGCGCTCTGCTCTGAAAGCCCTGGAGCCTTGCTGCTGGTCTCCTTCCTTCCGGGTGGTGTAACAAGTTCCTCTGGAACGCAGGTCGGTGCCAACCACCAAGTGTGTGGGTCAGAACAAGTGGATCAGGATGCTCAAGGAGGGACCATCTAACAGCCGCGCTGCCAGACTCCCCATGCGGCTGGCGAGCGAACCAAGGCCGTCTACTACCGTGAACGGGTCGCTCGATCAATTCAAAGTCCTTAAAAACTCACAGCTAGCAACAGTGGTGTGCTAGCCTTGGAGGAATTTTACATTCTAACTCTCCAACGCAAAGGTTAAATAACCTACAGTTAGCCATTCGACCGCCAAAGGGGGGCTGCGCCTGTCGGGAGAGGAGTGAGGTGCTCGCCTCCCTTGGGAGAAGAGAGGTGCGCAGGAAGCAAACACCGAGACTTGCACCGCATCTCGCCCGCTCTCTCGCTCTGCGGACTCCAGTCGCCGGCCTGCTCCGCCTGGAGGAGCCCCCGGGCACACGCCCCTACTCCAGGCAGAGGGTCTGCGCCGACAAACAGTCTTCTGCCGGGACTCTAAAGTTCCGAGTGGGCGTGACGCGGCCGGAGCATCAGCCCGGCTGCCCCTCGGGGCCGCCCTCCCGCCCTCCGGGCCAGCCCAGCGCGAGGCCGTGGCTCTCACCTGTCCAGCCCGCAGCGCCAGCTGCACCGCGGCCTGGAAGCACTCCTCCCAGGGGTCCCCCGCGGGGGCCGCCGCGTCCTCGCCGCAGAGCTTCATCGCGGCCTCGCCGGACCCTGCCACCTTCAGCCCTCTTCTGCGGGCCCAGGGACGGGACCCCGGAACCCACTGTCTCCAACACTACTTCCACCTGCTCCGGTCACTCCCCACCTGGTTCGGCGGCAGCCCCAATGCGGGGAAAGACAGAAGTCGGCTGCGGCCGGGAAAGCCTCTCGGCGCTCCCAGCTCCACGCCCAGCGCCTGGTCCCGCCGCACGGGTCCCGAACGCCAATCAGCGCAGAGCCTCGCACCCGGAGTCCGGCCCCGCCTTCTCCAAATTGAACTGGGTCCGGCTCCGAGCCCGCCTCCTGGCTCTGCGCCGGGACCCGCCGCGCTCGGTCTGGCGCGCTGCAGGCGGCCTGGACTGGAGGGGCTGGGGACCGCGGCGCAGGGGTGTGGGGGCGGCTTCGCCCACACTGGAGACTCCGGGCCAACCCGGGATGTGCAGGTCGTGTCCCCAGCCCGGTGGTCCCGCTCCGGAGCCCGCACGCACTGGGCACGAAGTGTCCGTTGGCCTGTGGCGGACGCTCTGGACCAGGACGCAGGGGGCAGCCAGGTATACTACTTCCCACGGATGGCTTTTGGCCAGCGGAAGGCGGTGGGGCGCGGGCCTTGTTCCCAGCTGCGCTGTCGGCAGCCCTGAGGGCGCAAAGCCTTGGTGTCCCGCGCGAGAGTTTGGGGACGGTCACGCCAGCTAAAAACCTAGCACTACGACAGTGACTGGATTTGATAAATTGTTCAAACTCAAATCTGGATCCTAAACGCGAGTGCAATTATCCTCTCTGTGGTGGGGAATGACTTTTTCAACCTTGGGTTCTTTAACTGGCACCACGTAAATGTAAATATGAGGCACTTGCGTGTTCCCTCCTCCCTCCCCGCCAGGCAGAGTCTCACTATGTCTCCCTGGGTACAGTGCCGTGGCATCACAGCTCACAGCAACCTCAAACTCTTGGACTTAAGCGATTCTGTTGCCTCAGCCTCCCAAGTAGCTGAGACTACAGGCGCCCACCACAACACTGGGCTATTATTAGTTGTAGTTGTCATTGTTGCTTTGGCAGGCCCGGGCCGGGTTCGAACCTGCCACCCTCTGGATGTGGCAGGCGCCCTACCCACTGAACTGCAGGCGCTGCCCACTTGCGTGGTTTTCAAGACTTTACTTTCATAAGCTTCGCTACCTACCCATTGTAGAAGAAATGCTGACCTACATGCAATTACCCTAGAATGCCACCTCTGAGAGTGTAAAACAACAAAAGTATGTACAAAAACCTTGATGGGATATTTTTTACACAGTTAACCTAATAATGGAATTAAATGCTTTCTGTTGTTTGTGAGTACTTCATATTGAAACACCTTGGTCAAGCGCGATGACGTCGCGCCTGTAATACTTAGCACTCTGAGAGGCCGGGGCAGATGGATTGCTTGAGCTCAGGAGTTCAAGACCAGCCTGAGCAAGAGCGAGACCCCCATCTCGACAAAAAATGGAAAAAAAACTAGCCAGGCATTGTGGGCGCCTGTAGTCCTGGCTGCTTGTGAGGCTGAGGCAAGAGGATCACTTGAGCCCAAGAGTTTGAGGTTGCTGTGAGCTATAACACCACAGCACTCTACCCACGTGACAGAATGAGACTGTTTCAAAACAAACAAAAAAACCTATAGAGAAAACTTTAGGTGTGCAGTATGAGATAAAAATTACAATGGGAGGGATTAAAAAGGCAGATTTGGATATAGCTGTAGGGACTCTAGCCTCACCCAGTCTCCTAATTGTATAGTTCAGAAACTGAGACCAAGAATTGCCCCTGCTCCCATGAGGACAGTTTGGGACAACTAAAGATAAGCTCTGTTCAATCTTTTTTGTTGTTCATTTTTTTCCCCTGAAGTTCAGGGTACAGAGCCAGACTTGTGAAAACACTCAAGACTGTGCTTCAAATGCTTTATTTTTATTTTTTATTTTTTGAGACAGTCTCACTATGTCACCGTCAGTAGAGTACTGTGGCACCACAGCTCACAGCAACCTCAAACTCTTGGGTTTAAGTGATTCTCTTGCCTCAGCCTCTCAAGTTGCTGAGACTACAGGTGCCTGCCACAATGCCTGGCTATTTTTTTTTTTTTTTGTAGTTGTCATTATTGTTTGGCAAGCCTGGGCTGGGTTCAAACCTGCCAGCCCTGGTGTATGTGGCCAGTGCCCTACCCACTGAGCTACAGGCACCAAGCCAAATGCTTTATTTTTAAATGAAATGCAGAGTTGTTGATCTTCACAATGGGTCTTCATTAGAGATCACTTCCAGCTTGGCACCTGTGGTTCAAGTGGCTAACCCAAGGTGGCAGGTTTGAATCCAGCCTGGGCCCGCCAAACAACAATGATGACTACAACCAAAAAATAGCCGGGCATTGTGGCAGGCGTCTGTGGTCTCAGCTACTTGGGAGGCTGAGTCAGGAGACTCGCTAGAGCCCAGGAGTTGGAAGTTGCTGTGAGCTGTGATGCCACAGCACTCTACCCAGGGGGACAGCTGGAGGCTCCTGTTTAAAAAAAAAAAAAGAGAGAGAGAGAGATCACTTCCAACACGAAGCTAATTTAGGAAGTAATGGAATTTCTCTTCTGCCTCTTCCAGCTGCCCTGAGCATCCCTAAGGCCCAACACAAAAGCCTACCAACAGGATCAAGTGCACAAGTCCCTCAGAGAAAGGAATGAGAGCACCAACCTGGAAGGAAACCTTGTATTCCCTTGTATTCCCACCCTGCCTTGCCCCTCGCACTGAGGTCCCTTTGGAACTCAGCCCACTGACACCAAAGTGAAATAAAGAGCCTAGTTGCCCATACTGGACCTGGATTCTGTTTCTTTTTTGCATGTCTTGGAAGAACCTCTCACTCTTGCCCTTGCTGCCTATACTGTGACTCAATCTGGGAGCTCAGTAATCTTTGATTATGAATCTCAGCCCATCTAAACATCAAGAAAAAAAGGCTTTAAAACTTTCTTGTTGGCTGGGCGCAGTGGCTCATGCCTGTAATCCTAGTACTGTGGGAGTCCAAGAGGGGCGGATTGCCTGAGCTCCTGTATTCGAGACCAGCCTGAGAAAGAGCAAGACCTCCTCTCTAAAAATAGCTGGGCGTTGTGGCAGGTGCCTGTAGTCCCAACTACTTGGGAGACTGAGGCAAGAGAATCACTTAAACCCAGGAGTTTGAGGTCTCTGTGAGCTGTGAGACCACAGCACTCTATGGAGGGTGAGAAAGGGACACTGTCTCAAAAAAAGAAACATACATACAAAAAACTTCCTTGTTTGACTGACAAATGTCTTGAGGCAGAATAGTGCAGTTTTTAGCAGCATGAAGCTTGGAGCCAGTCATATTTTTCTACATTAAAATATTTGCCACATTTCTTCCTTGTGTGGATTTGAGAAAGTTACAAATAACCTTTTTTGACTGTTTTGTCATCTATGAAATGGTCTTTGTAACCATTATATGTGTTAATGTACATGTGCTTGATACTTTTGTCTTTGCTATTGTGGTCACTTGTGCACCAATGCAGCCTTAAGCAATCAGCATACTGTCTGGCACCACCTAGGTGCTCGGTAAGTATATGTTAATCATTGAATAGTGAAATCTGCTTTTATTTATTTTTTAAAGCAACTTCCATATGTTATTTCCTTATTATTATTTTATTTTTACTTCATTTTTATTATTTATTTATTAAATCATAACTTTGTACATTGATGCATTTATGGGGTTCACTGTACTATTTCAATATACAATGTGAAATGCTTACATTGAACTAAGTAACACATTCATCACAATTATACTCATTTCTTAATAGTTTGAAATGTACCATTGCATCATGCACATTAGGTGAGATCCCCCCAAATACCCTCCCTCCTCGTGTATCCCCCCTCCTTTCTTTCTCCTCTTCCCTTCTACTTTCTGGACTTAGTTATGTTTTACCATTTGTATGAGTGTGTAGGTGGTTATATATTGATTTCATAGTAGTATTGTGTACATTAGATACTTTTTTTTCCATTCTTGAGATACTTTACTAAGAAGAATATGTTCCAGCTCCATCCAGGTAAACATAAAAGATGCGAAGTCTCCATATTTTTTATAGCTGCATAGTATTCCATGATGTACATATACCACAATTTGTTAATCCATTCATGGGTTGATGGGCACTTGAGCTGTTTCCATGTCTTGGCTATTATAAATTGGGCTACAATAAACATTCTGGTGCAGATGTCTTTCTTATAAAATAATTTTTGATCATCTGAGTATATACCTAGTAGAGGCATTGCAGGATTGAATAAGTATACTTTTAGTTCCTTGAGTGTTGTCCAAACTTCTTTTCAAAAAGGTCATATTAGCTTGCATTCCCACCAGCAGTATAGAAGCGTTCCCTTCTCTCCACATCCATGCCAACATCTGTAGTTTTGGGATTTTGTGATGTGGGCTAATCTTACAGGAGTTAGATGATATCTAAGAGTGGTTTTGATTTGCATTTCTCTGATGATTAAGGATGATGAGCATTTTTTCATGTGTTTGTAGGCCATGCACCTTCATCAGAGAAGATTCTGTTCGAATCTCTTGCCCACATAAAAATGGGGTTATTTATTCTTTTCTTATTGATTAGATTGAGTTCTCTTTAGATTCTAGTTATCAGACCTTTATCAGAAGCGTAACCTGCAAAAATCTCCCATTCTGAAGATTGTCTGTTTGCTTTACTTACTATGCTCTTGACTGTGCAGAAGCTTTTTAGTTAAACCAGACCCCAGATAATGTATTTCTTGTGTGGCTTCAATTTCCCCGGGGGAAGGGGGGAGTGTTCTCCTCATAAAATATTCACCCAGGCCAATTTCATCAAGTGTTTTCCCTGCACTCTGTTCTAGTATTTTTTTTTTTTTTAAGAGACAGAGTCTCACTTTGTCACCCTCAGTACAGTGCCGTGGTGTCACAGCTCACAGCAACCCCCAGCTCTTGGGCTTAGGTGATTCTCTTGCCTCAGCATTCTGAGTAGCTGGGAGTACAGGCACCCATCACAATGCCCAACTATTTTCTTGTAGCAGTTTGGCCAGGGCTGGGTT